AACACCTTTTCCAACAGAATCAATAATTTTGCAGCCATATCTAAATAGATTTTATCTTTTCTAACAAATATGAAAACATTCTGCTTCCTAACTTGCAAGCATAATTTTAAATTTGGTTGAACTACTATACTTTCATACTTACTTACACCTATTACTCTATAATAATCAGGAGTATTTGAATTATAGTATGAACTAAGAATCCCAGAAATAACGTAATCGGATCAAGAAGTACTAGATAACTACAGACGAATATACTGTACTTAAAATTCGAAATCAAGCATTCAACAAGTACAAAGGTGTCATTAGTTCATTCAAACACCACATACTACCAATCGAGCATAGGTCACTGATCAGCATTCTCCAACCCACTCTGTCCTGTGCATTTTTGTTCCTCCGCTGTCATCTGGTTTGTTCTCTCCCACAGTAGGTTGTTGCTAATAGTGTCTGGCCAACGGATCCGAAGTATTTTGTGTAGACAACTGTTAATAAATACTTGTACCTTCTGGATGATGACTATCGTAGTTCTCCAGGTTTCCGTCCAATACAGAGTAACTGTTTTGACAATTGTATTGAAAATTCTGAGTTTGGTATTGTTTGACAGACAGTTGTTTTGAGTTGCAGATGTTCTTCAATTGTAAATATGCTGTTCTTGCATTGCCAATCCGTGCCTTCATATTTGCATCAGATACACCGTGTTCATTAATGATGCTGACTAGATATGTAAAGGTTTCTACATCTTCCAAAGCTTCTACGTCAATTGTGATTGGATTGTTGCATGCTGTGTTGTATCGGGGAACCTTGCTTTTCCCGTTGTGTATGTTGAGACGTACTGCTGCTGAGACTGCTGCTATACTGGTCATCTTCTCCTGCATTTACTGTTGCATGTGCGATAAAAGAGCTAGATCATCTGCGAAATCTAGATCGTCCAGCTGCGTCCAAACTCTCTAGAAAGACGCTAGCCTGAACTCCTATGTCGGAACATTATTTGATAATCTGTTCTCTCTTTTTTTCCATAACTGAAGGAGGATTTTTTGTAAGTTTCTAAATCAATAGTGGTTGACACTTGCTCTCTTATTAGGAAAATTTCTTCAAACTAAATTGTTCTATTTTTTTCGAAATGAGTTATGAACATTATTGCAATATTTTTTAGTATGATAGTCTACTACCAATTTGTCAGTAGCTAAACATGTACAGAAAAAATACTGTACGTGGTTCTCATGAGTTTAATGATACCTGTTGACTCGATTAGCATGAACAAAACTGCTTACGAATGTTGGGTATGTTGACTATGGAATGCTACAGGTAATCAGAGAATAATAAACAGCAGTGATAAATGGGTTAGGAAATCCGTGAAATGACATTGATTAAAATAGCTAGTAATTGTTTTTAGTGTGCACGTCTATCTCCTACGCCAAAAGTCATTGTTGAAAGTTATAAGAGAAGATTTCAAAAAGACTAACGATGATTCGATATAAGTATAACATAAAACCATTAAACCAATGACTACTGAATACAGATGTGTCTGAAGAAGAAGTTTTCATGATTAAGGCGGTTAGGACTGCCCACTGATTCTATAATGAATGATTCTAGATGATGAATGCGTCATGAACATACATTCTGATGTCTTAGATTCTACTTGAGCTAACCCTTTTTAGGCAAAAGTGATAATAAATAACTAAACAAAAATTAAGTTGGAAGAATTTATTTCAGACAGCCTTTCATACAGATGGATGAGGAGAGATGCGAATTGGAGGACGTGAACGTAATAAATGTATAATGTGTGACCCAGCCTTTATAAGCATGACAGAGACAGACACATAGGTACTAGGATGCACATATATAAGCATGCTCAAGGTTATGCATGAGTGATTGGCAATACCACGGACATGAGTGTCAAGACAAGTAAAATGATTAGATTAATTTATCTGTCCAACGATTAGAACAAATCACGTAGGCATATGATAATTGATCTGCTTCAGGCATGTAGGTAACCATATTCTTTAAAATAAGGAATTAAGGTTGTATAATTTGACATCACTCATAATGATACTGACCTATTCATAATTTCTCTTATTCGAATTCATTTTGTTTTGAATACATCGCATGATAAACTTAAGAAACTATTACTATTATTCTATCCTAGTAACTTACTTTCACTGTGAGTCGATGTATCTTTGCTCCCAATTCTACATTGCTCAGTAAAAAATAATGGTAGTTTAAAATACTTGCTTATCATTTTACAGAATTAAATGTAGGATAATTTGATCAGAAGGGGTTTCGTATCAGAAAGGGATTCTATGGTGGTCTAGCTTCAATTGATTCATGATCTCAACTAGTGGGGTATTTTGATCAAGTTCAATGAGTTTGTTTTAATATCTGACAATACTTTGAGTTGAAATTATTGTCTTGTAAAATTTGTTCATCTCGTCAACTGATTTATAATTTCATTGATCTACCTAATAAGTTATGTTATTTTGTGTGTGTATGTGTTCATCTGATTAGGAATGAAAAAAATTTAATAGTTGAAATCATCAGTCAATTGAAGCCAGACTACCATAGAAAACCTGGAAGCACTAGACGGCCGTTTTGTCCTACTGTGAGACTTTCCAGAAGTGCGCATCTACGATCCCACCTTACAAGATTCCAACCTAGGACCCATCAGTCTTGCACGTGAGCGCTTAACCATTAAATCACTGAGCCAGCCGGCATCCAATGGTGTTCATGTATAACTCCAAACAATCCACATCCACCATTTTCATCCGTGAGTTACTATCTCAGAACAGACCTGGTTGAACTCCATTGGTCACTGCTTCTCACTGGAACTCCAGGAAATACCTCTTGAAGTCAGTCACTAGTGAGCATATGTTGATTAATATCAGAAGGGTTTTTGTGAGTATTATAGTAATTTTATAGTAGGATCATATTTTATAAACGCCAAAACAACACATAATTACTGAACTACTAGTTTTCAATTTAGTTTACAGTGGGAGTAGAAAATTCTAAGGAACTTTATTAGTAGTATATATAATATTCATGTACATTACAAACAGATTATACAAAATTATACTCGAAACTTAGTGTACAAGCAGTGACTTGTCCAGCTCACAGAAGGACGATATCTTGTAAAATGCTCATGAAATTGTTGCTGTACCCGCGTACGAATAAACAGAAAATAAATCGAGCGGTAAAATAAACAGAGTTGAACTAAACTGAGCTCATTATACTGTGACAAATGTTTCTCATGAATGCGATTATCGCGATTCTCTAATTGTTTTACCAGATATTGGTTATCATAATGACTCTTGTGGTCCGTGGTTCTCGACTCCATTTAGAGCGTATGGAAGATGGCTGGGAAGCCAACTCCATTTCAAGCCGGGCATTACTCATTATTTATAGGCAGACAAAATAAACTATAGACATGTGATGAGTCATGGGACATGAAGTGTACACACATATACACTCATGTGAAAACAGTCAAGGCTAATAAGCGAATAATTAACAAGGTCAAAACATGACTCAAGTAGAATGAATAGAATGGAATGTCCGAAAACTAGAATAAGATATATTATGGGCTAAAACTAATGACTAACACTACACTCTCAGGTTTTTGATGAAATTCCTTACAAAAATGAGGAAAATATGTCGGATGAATCAAATGATGGTCAAAAACCTAATGCAAATATGATAGATACTGATTTTCCTAGTGGATTCTTTATTCAATGCGGGAAATATGTTTTAAATAGGATCACATTAATTGTAACTTGAGGATATGAGGATCCAAAACCATTTCGTAGGGGAGGATAGTCAGAAAATTTAAAGTCAGAATTTAAACTTCAAGTCTTCAAAAAGAGGGGAGGTGTTGTATCCCAACGAGGATTATGAATGGTAACTTTTGAGAACTATTTATGGACCAATACGATACATATGGTTTTACTGCATAATTGTTAAGCAGCTAAACTACGCATATTCATGTTCCTTTTATTATAAGCTTTATTTTGACCCATAGACTATTATTATGCGATTGCCGTTCTTGATTTATGCCCGGTCGATAATTCACTGTTCTCTAATTGGTGGTATCATTACATCATATACTGACAGGGGCTGAAGGCCACAAAATATAACATACATATGTTATCCTTTCAAATGTGTTATTTCGTCTTAGATATGAAGTACCTCTGGATAATATGTCCAGGTACAAATAAAACCATTAAACATTCAGTAAATCGAACGTCTATCACTCACCGTTCTTACTATGCACATATACGCTAAGGTTTAATCAAACAAATTTAAGCAAAAACAGTAGGCAAAATGTATTTATTTAGCATCATGAAGTAGTGGAGAAAACTTATGCCTAAGGGTGGAGCTGAAGTCTGTGAACTAAGTATTTAATGGCAAAACTTTTGTTGTCTTTCTAGGCGAAGTCATCAGTAAGACGGTCGTATTGATGTGGGGTATTAGGCATGTCTAGCAGCTTGTCCGATTGACATGAGGTTTATGTACGTGTTAACGGATCATATTATGTTATTTGTAGGCGAATTGCGGTATATATATATATATATACACATCTGCAACTCAAAACAGCTGTCTGTCAACCAACACTAAAGTCAGAATTTTCAATACAAATGTCAGGACAGTTCTACTGGATGGGGCGGAAACCTGTAGAACTACGAAATCCATCATCCATAAGATACAGGCCCAGGACAGAGTGTGTTAGAGAATGCTGGTTAGCGACCTGTACTCCATTACGAGTAACAAGTGAAAGTAAGTAAATCCCTAGAAAATTATTCCATTTAAAAAGAAATATAAATGAACCAACTTAGAAACAAACAAAAAACAAACAAAAAAATAGACAGGCATTATAATCTTAATTGTTATTGGTTAAAAATTGTCTATTCATCCACATGATAATTTTAATGTCATAAATTGACCTTGTTACCGATTGGATATAATTGATTTATCGATCATTATGTTACGATAAATTTTATGATGGCGTGATAACTAAATACATCAGCTTACCTACCTACCTACCTACTTACCTACTTATCATTGTACTACTTAAACGGATTTAAAATGTGATATATATTCTTATGTCGTTTATCATTGTGAACTAATTCTAATGAATTATTTGGGTCGTTTAATTTCAAGTGCTCATCAATATTATAAAAATATCAATGTAGCTAATTTAACTGGTGCTATTGATGTGATTGTTGTAAAAAATAAAAATGGTGAATATCAAAGTACACCATTTTATGTAAGATTTGGAAAAATGGGAGTGTTATATCCACAATCACATGTGGTAAGTTATAAATGAAATGTTTCTTAATTTGATTTGGTTTTCTATTGTAAACTACTGATTGTATTATGATGTATGTTATGTAAGGTGAGACTATAATTTATGGATGACTTTTGAGTGACGTCCAAGTGATCTTGAGAGTGTCTACCTATATAAGTGTTAAATGAAGGTTATTAAACAGTTTAGAGGATGAGACTATAATTTATGGACGACCTTTGAGCGACGCTAAACTGACCTTGAGAGTGGTCACCTAATAACTAGGATCAAATGAGCGTTATAAACCATTGTGTGAGGGAATAGAATTATGATTTACAGTTAGTGGTTAGGGTTAGGAATTAGATATAGAGTTTTCATCACGAACTGACATCAGCTATAATGCCAAGAAGCTATATAATTAGTGTTCATATACAGTTTTTATTTCAAGTGTGTTACTATGCTTATTATCTAAATATCAACCTTCGTCTCTAACTTGTCTTTATATAACTTCTAAATTGTAGTCAGAGGTAATTTTTCCACACCCTAATATACTTTGAACTAGAGAATATAGTTTTACAGTGATCAAAGTAGTAACAACAATCATCTTAAATTATGAGGGTTATGTTTGAATAGTTCCTGGATGTTGACGGGCATTTTTAATCATACTTTATTTTCTTTTTAGAACGTTTAATTGTCCAATATTAAATAACTTGAAAATTAGCATAATCATACTCATATCATATTAGAAAAGTCATTGGATCTTACCAAAATTGAAAAACTCATTTGTTGTTATTCTCAGCTAAATTGACTGTAAAATAGAGTCTGGTTAGTGTTTTCTACGGCATGGGGTCGCTAACCCCATGCCCAACCCTCCTCCTTTATTTGAGCTTGGGACCGGCAGTAGCTCCAGACGGAGTAAATGTTATGAATAAATTGTTCCGATCTTACTTGACTTATTATTTCTTACTGATTCATTCAACATATTATGTCTTCTAGTACTATGAATAAATGACGTATAGATTTTCTGACACTAAACGCAAGTTAACAACGTCTAATGTACAATACAAGGTACTTTTGTCGATAAATGTTAGTTCGATTCTATCTAGTTCCCTATCTGCTGAAAGTAAGGTTTTTAAAAACTTGTGAGTTATACTTATAGGAATGGAATTTTAGGAACTACATGCTTAAAGGATTTGACAATTGTCTTCATAATTATGAGTAATTAAAGTCATACTATCTAGTCAATACCAGTGTCATTTTATCAACTAAATCTGAGATGTGGTCATCATTTTAAAGTGACTTCACACTACAGCGCAATATATTTGATACCAGATCATTGGAGGCTATGGATTTAAAAGTTAGAAATCTACGTTGTATTTTAGAAACATTTCCACATTGATGTTTGTCTCTTGGCCCAGCAGCTTAGGACGATAACTGCCCGAGTGTTCATATCCAGGGGAACTAACCACTGAGAACATACGGCGTACGGCCTTATAGTTTCAGATTGGATAATGTATCCGCTTTATTATATGCACCTTCAGAACGCCGTAAGTGTATTCATAGATCGATCAAACAAGAGGTGCGTTCCCGAGCAAATTATTACTTTGCTTGAGTCTATAATTCCATTCATCTAACCTTTTATAATTCAATATCGATAAGAGTGACGAAGGATACCAAGTTTTGGGGAGGGTGGGCATAACAATTATTGTCTACACAAATATATCATGGCATACCTAACAATCTATTCATCGTCACTTTTCATAGTTTGGCTACTGAATATTTTCACACTAGGTGTCTATTTTTCTCTTGTATACGGAAAAGAATAGGGATCTACATGAACCACAAACGAGTAGGAAATCCCAACCCCTATTTCGGTGAACTATTTAGTAAACTTTTATACTAGCTGCTTTTGAGAACACCAGTTCACCACTTATCGAATGGATACAATCAGAACCACGAAGGAAAAAAAGATTATTTTATTTTATCACTTGTATGAAAGGCATAGAGTAAGGAAGCTGTGCAAAGAAATAACGAATGTGAACACACTGAGGACTTAAGGAGCATTAATAAAACAAACAAATATAAGATAATAGTGAACAGGATTTAGAGCCACAGATATTATGTACATGGATCTGCTCCACTCTGATTCGTTTCAGCCAGACTACTTAATATGTCCATCAGACAAAATCGGATATTTTGGTTACCGACGCGTACATAGCCGTCTATATTCCAGTTATATCCCTGGTAACGTTACACATGTATTCAAATAATTTATTTTGCACGTGCGGTTAAATTAAAACTATTTGAGATAAACTTACAAAGTAGTCAGCTGATCATACATAAGATATGAAGTTAACCATCGAATCAGTACCACTTAGTGACGCAAGAGTGATCGAAGTAAATATTGATAATCAAGTAATCTTTCAAATTGTTAAAAAGATATGAGATCTGAGCAAATATGAGAACTACAGAGAGATCATATTACTGTCTGTAACAGCAACAGGTTTCAGCAAACAGTTGCTGAACCGAATGAAAGACTCAGTAGATGCCCAACTCCGAAATCAACAGAACGGATTCCGTATGGATCGGTCGTGCACAAACCAAATCGCCACACTAATGATCACCGTTGAACAATCGATCGAATGAAACACGTCACTATACATCAACAACATTGATTATCTGAAAGCATTTGACAGTGTGAAAAAAAGAACATTATGGAAACTTCAACACTATGAAATGATCACCTGAGAAAATCGTCAACATTTATCCGGAACTCACAAAACAGGCTACAGTGAGAAGTGGTGAATGGAGGACAGCTGACTGATGCATTCCAAATGGGGACTGGAGTCAGAAAAGGTTCCTCGCTCTCCCCCTTTATCTTTCTTATGGTGGTTGACTGGGTTATGAAGACCTGAACATCTCAGAGGAAGCGCGAAATAAAATGGATAGAGTGAATAAAACTAGACGATCTTTAATTTGCAAATGATCTGACCCATCTATACCATTCACATGAACAAATGCAGGTCAAGACAAACAGTGTAGCAGCAGTCTCTTCATCAATGGGTCTCAACATGCACAAGGGAAAAAGCAAGGTGCTCAAATACAACACAGGGAACACCAACCAAACCAATCACACTTGATGGAGAAATTCTGGGGGGGGGTGGAATCTTTTACTTATATGGGAAACATCATCGACAAACAGGGAGAATCTGATGCAGATATGAAGGCGAGGGTCGCTAAAGCAAGGACAGCACTCCTACAGTTGAAGAGCACATGCAAATCAAAACAACTGTCACTCAATATCAAAGTCACAATCTTCAGTGCGAACTTCAAGACAGTTCTACTGTACGGAGCTGAAACTAAGAGAACTATCACAACCATCATCAAATATTGTTAGGTCCCGAGAAACATAATGAATGGTAACTTTGGGATCTATTGATCAATACTAAACGTATATTTTTATCGTATAATTGTTAAATAACTAAGCTATTCATATTTATGTTCCTCTTATTATAAGCTTTATTTTGACCTATGAACCATTATTATACGTCTTACCATTCTTGAATTATGCTCTGTCTATTAGTCACTGCCTCCCACATTCACAGCCACATTTGGCTAATCCTTGTACAAATGTTGTTTCATATTTTATTGGTACGTTGTGGTCTGTTTGATTGGTATATAAACTCAGTGTGTTTGAAATATAATGATTCATATTGCAGAGGTTGAGACTGGTGTTCTGGACTTAACTGGCTGGGCTAAGCGGAAAGCAGGACCAATCAGGACTCTAGGCTGCTCGCACGTGTTTTACGCCTCCTTGGTTCGATTGACAATTCGCTGCTTCTGATTGGTGGCCTTGGGCGATAACAAAAATGTGCAAGTATTTATAAACAATTGTCTACGTAAGATACTGAATGTCCGTTGGTCAGATACCACAAGCGACAGCCTACTTAGAGAGAGAAAAAACCAGCTTCCAACTAAGGAAGAAATTAGGAAAAGATGTTTGAAGTGAATAGGACATACATTAAGGAAATCACGAAACTGCATCTCGAGGCAAACTTTAGCTTGGAATCCTGAGGAGAAACAGAAAAGTGGAAGGCTGTAGAACACAATGCTTTGGTAATTGGTAGCAGATATGAAAAGGATGAATATCGAGTTGAAAGAACTGGAAAGTATGTCACAGGACAGAGTTGGATAGGGAGTGATTATGAGCGTACTATACTCCTCCTTGAAGAGTAACAGGCGTAAATTATTAAGTAAAAAAAAATCTAGCGATATATGTTATAATTTTTGTTCATTACTTTTGTATTAGTTTTTTTTTTACTTTCAATTTTCAACAACCATTGATTTTTATAAATCAAATCTACTTATTCAATTGAATCTGTTCTCACTTATTCAAGTTGTGATTCATTGAACCAATTCATATATAATTAAAATATTATTTTTAATTTGATCTTTATTAGCAATCACTGTAATAATAACCATACATAATTATAAGCATCTATATAAATTATCAAGATAAATTGTGTCATTAGTCTCCATGTTATCAGTTTGTGTAACTAAAAATTACAAATTGACAATTGAATGAATGACAAGTGTATCTATAGTGATAAAAGTCAAATGGTTACCTAAAGACAGGTTTTAAACAAAACTTTTTCAAGATGCTGTATTGGTTATGATTAATTAACTTGAATAAAATCAATGAACGTTTTGATGTTACTGATTATTATTATTATTATTATTATTATCATTATTATTATCATTATTATCATTATTATTATTATTATTATTATTATTATTATTATTATTATTATTATTATTATTATTATTGTTCAGATGTAAATATTTCATGTCTGTTTACCAGAATAAATCTGATGATTAACATGATGTAAAAAGAAAACTGTCTTAATTTCTACAGTAGATTCTTCTTGACAGAATTCAAAACATTGTTTTCTTCAATTAAATAATCATTGATATTCCTTGACATTTTTAGTGAGAATAAGAACTAAATTAAATGTAACCAGCTGATGAGTCCTGAATAGGACGAATCACGCGTCTTGGATTCCACTGCTAGCCACTATACATCTTTACTAATAACTTACTTAGTGTTTCTGATTATCACTTTTATTCTTTATCTCTCTTTCTTAATAACAATAAACTATTGTTTTTTCTTTCTGTTTTAAATTGTATTCCTTATTGCTGACGACAATTTATTTGTAGTTAACTAAGTAAATTAAAAAGTATTTTATTGTAATCAATTCTTTATTATTGTTCTTTGTAGGTTGATGTATGTATTAATGGACAGCCAAGACCAGATATATGCATGCATGTTGAACCGACAGGTTATGCTTATTTCGATAATGAGGTATGTTTTAAATCTATATATTATTGTTCAGGATCTCTTTTAATCTTTGTAATCATTCAGTGAAATGATGATAAGTTCAGTAGATTAGGCTGACCCAATCGACAATTCATACATTTTTTCATATGCCACTTATGGATAACGTTCTCTGATTGGTTCGTCCATAGATTAAATGGATGAAGACGGACAACCATGAGACAACAAACTGATTGTTATATCCTAGTGAAGATTAAATTACGAGTAACTTGTGAGACCTATTAATGGAATAATATTATCTATATATTCTTATAGTATAACTATTCAGTAATTAGATTATGTATATCTATATTCCCTTTATTATAAGCTTCATTTTAACCTATAGATTATTATGATACGATTTACCGTTCTTGAGTCATACCCAGTCAATTCATTACTATCTCCCACATTCACAGCCACTTTCTGGCTTTATTGTGTATAAATGTTATTTCCTATTTTATGGTGCGTTGCGGTCTGTTTGGTTAATGTATAAACCCAGTATGTCTGAAATAAATGATCCGCATAGTGGAGGCTGTTATTGGCATTCTAGACAGCTGGACAGGCTACGCGAGCAAAGGGCCAATATGACATAGGCTGATCAGACCGGACGAACGTCATTGGTTTAGAACAGTACGAGAGCGAATAAGTCGTATTTTGATTGGCGAGTAGATTACGTGATAACTAGTGGGCCATAAAGTCACAACACTGATCCTTATTTTTTGCTTTTACTTTTCCTTAACAAACTGGTGAAGTTGTAAGTTAAGTATAGCTAATCAGTATGTAAATTATTGTACGTATTAAATATTTTGTAAATTAATCCAAGCTTAACTTCATTAGAAACTGTGAATTGAGTTTGGTCAACTAATATTTGGCTATTTCTTACAAGGTTATTGAGGAAAGAGACAACTGAAAACATACATCCTACACAATACAAGCTGCTAAGTAACTTGAAACCAATTTCTTTTTATGCAGAACAGGAGACAGACACCATATGGTGTCCTCGATGTAGGGCTACTTAGACTAATGAACAAACTAAAACTTAGTCAATAGAATTCGATCATCACTAAAGGAATTGTTGGGAAGGATGCTTTATTGCCTCCTTACATACCTGTTCATTCTATCCATTCGAATCATATTTTCAATGCGTAGTCGTTCTTATTATCATTAACCCTACGTTAAATAGATTATTTTGGCATTCATCGTATCAATTTCATCTCATCGCGCTGTTGTAGTATAACAACTTGGTTCACATTTGTACTAATCTGTACTTTGGTTATGACTGATTATACTGGAAAGAAAATCCAGATTATTTAAGTCTACTGAACGTAAAAAATCAGTGATAACTTGAAGGATCGAATCATTGATGTTTTACAGTCATGATTTATATCTTTGTTCTCTGGACCACGTTAGTCATCATATGTGTATAAATTTTAGATCTTTCACTGATAAACATTAATTTACTTAATAGGAATGTAAACTTAAAACGGAAGATAAAGAAGTGTTACTTAGAAGCAATGAAGAATTACAAACTTGGACACAAAATGAGAATGATCATATTGATTGTGTTACAAATGAATCAAATACTGAACAATTGGAAAATGTTTTTGAAATAGATATTCAAGTTAGTAAGTGAAATAGTTCCGTTGATTATATGCCTAAATAAAATTAACATATCGAGACTGACATAAAATTATTCATCCATTCTTTCATGGAGAATTCTCGGAGTTCTAGTGAGAAGCCGTGACCAGTGGAGCTAATCCGTGTCGGGTAGGGACAGATATCTACTTCAATACGATGGAAGATGGTCGGGCAATTTCGTGGATTGGTTGAGGTTAGACGGCTCAGTGGTGTAGAGGTTAAGCGTTCACGCGCGAGGCCGAAGGTCCACGGTTCAAAAACCGAGAACGGGATCATGGATGTGCACTGCTAAGAAGTCTCACAATAGGACGAAACGGTCGTCCAGTACTTCCATGTTTTCAATGGTGGTCTAACACCAGTCGGTTTAAGATCTCGATCAATAACTTGATAATCTCCACAACCCTATAATCTCATGGAATAGCTTGTTTCATAAAATAATAGGATCAACGTTACTGTATTTAGTTACTCACATCAGAACCATTAAAGATGACAGCTGGATTGAATTCACCAACTTATAAATAATTTAATTCCTGTAGCCATACAGAATTGGCATAAAAGTAAATGATGAGAAGGAACTATTTCAAGTTTAATATTTGTTTATTCAGAAAATGGTATACTCGTTTTAAATACACTTAACGCCATAATTATAAAAAGACTTATTCTAGCGAAACAACTTATGCCTATCTATTTGTGTTAGCACAACACATAGAATGCGTAGTTTATAGATGACATTTAAATCTTTAGGAAATAATTAATAATATCTTGCTGGTTTTTTCATACAAAAGATAGGCTTAAAAATGAAGTTATAATTCAATTAGATACAAACTAGTGATCTGATAAAGTTAATGCTTAGATAGCAACATATACAATTTAGGTACCAAAACATAAATCAAGTAATTACCAGCTATTATCAATTCTCCTACTGTTTGTCTTGAACAATCCCGCCCACGAAAAAAAGGCAACTTTCAATAGATTTTGATTTTTTCTAAAACTACGGTTTTTAGGCTCACAATCCTTACCTCTTCATTGTTATTACAGTTTACTTTTTTAATTAGAGCTTTTAGCGACAGACTTCTTTGTGGTGTGTCCCTACAGGATGTCGTTGTTTAACTCCTAGATTGTGAAGGGCTATTCAAAACTTATCTTTGCACAGTTAGTCTTAAGGTAATATTAAATTTATTAAAATTATTGCGTCAGTCAGCTGTCCTCCATGCACGACTTTGTAGTGTAGTCCGTTGTATGAAATCCGTATGATATTGACGATTTTCTCAGGTGCTCACTCCATAGTATCGAAGTTTCCATAATGTTCTCTTAATCACACTGTCAAGTGCTTTCAGATAATCAATGTTGTTGATGTATAGTGACGTGTTTCATTCGATCGATTGTTCACTGGTGATCATTAGTGTGGCGATTTGGTTTGTGCACGACCGATCCATACGGAATCCGTTCTGTTGATTTCGGAGTTGGGCATCTACTGAGTCTTTCATTCGGTTCAGCAACTGTTTGCTGAAACCTGTTGCTGTTACAGACAGTAATATGATCTCTCTGTAGTTCTCACATTTACTCAGATCTCCTTTCTTTGGCATCTTGATGAAATATCTTACTTTCCAAACTATCGGCATTTATTCCTTCTCCGAAATCTTCCTGAATAGAACGTGGAGCATGCTTCCAATTACTTCTATGTTTGACTTCAGTACTTCAGGTGGTATATTGTCATGTCTTGCTGTTTCCCACTCCTGACTTGTCTGATGACTATCGTGATCTCTGATCGTTGTTGGAGTGACATCTTTGCTAAGGTCTGTGCATGATGTTTCGATATCCGGTGGATTTAATGGATCTTGTCTATTCAAGAGTTTGTCGTCAATTTCCACACATCTGTTCCTCTGTCCTTCAATTTCAGTGATCGGCTTGTCTTCACTGTTTTTGGCCGGTCTCTCTGATTTACGCTATTTCCTTGCCAGCTTCTTCGTCGTGTCATGTAGTTGTTTCATATTCTCTTACAGCTTTTTCCCTTATCCTTGTTAGGTCTTCCACATATTTCTGCCTTTCGGATCTAACTTGTTTGCCTCCGTGCACTCAGCCTGTGTCTTGACTTTCTCTGCTCTTTTTCGATTGCTGTTGGTTGCGGTCTTCTTGTTCTTCCTTTCTTCAGTCTTGTTTAGGGTTTCCATGGAGATTCATTTCCTAATGATGATGCTGACTGCCGCCCATCGCTTCCTGACACGTTGAAGTTTATGCTTTTTCAATCTCTTTCAAATTGTTCTCCGTAGCAGTTTCTTCTTTCAGTTGATCCTGTATGGCTTGGAACCTGTTTTTGAGAGTTACCTTGAATTCGTTGAGTTCATCAGTATCTCGTAGGAAGTCTGTATTGATATGGTGGAGAAGATTTGTAGCTCAGGTGGCTGATTTTGGTGGAGTTTTGTTCTCTGAGCTGGATGGTTTGGTCGTGAAGCTTTCATCGTTTTTCTGAACGACATCATCAGCACAAACTTCAGAAAGAAGTGAAGTGTTCGAATTTCTCCATATGTGTTTCACAGCTTGTTCTGTGCACCTCGATGTTGATTGGTTCTTGTTGACCTTAAATATATCATTGTTTACTTCTTTGTTTTGGTTGTGTCTTCCATTGGTTTGATTTCAATATTGAAATCAATCCAATTTATCAACCAATCAGGAAAATCATGCATAAATATAGGGACAAAAACCAAACCAATGGGAGACACAACCAAAACAAAGAAGTAAACAATGATAAATTTAAGGTCAACAAGAACCAATCAACATCGAGGTCTACAGGACAAGCTGTGAACCACATGTGGAGAAATTCGAACACTTCGCTTCTTTCTGAAGTTTGTGCTGATGATGTCGTTCAGAAGGAAGATGAAAGCTCCACGATCAAACCATCCAGCTCAGAGAACAAAACACCAAAAAGTCTGTATTGATCCTTGGTAATGCTGTTTCCCTAACTGTCCAATGTTTCTTTTGCCTCAGCTTCATCTTGGCAACCACGAGCTAGTGGGGATATGAAGATATGTCAGCTCCCCTTCTGGTTCTCACGTTTCCCATTGACCTTGTGATTTTTTTAGTGATACAAATATGATCTATCTGGTTCTCCGTGGTGTGATCCGGTGATGCCCGTGTAGCTTTGTATATGCGTTTGTGTGTGAATATTTTGCCACTTATAACCAATTTGTTTGATGCACATAGATTTGCAAATCTGTCAACATTTTTGTTTCTTTTTCTCAGTCAGTCCATGTCTTCTCATGATATCTTCATATCCGATGTTGTCCATTCCGACTTTGGCATTTAGGTCTCTCATATGGATGGTGAGATCCTTTCTTAGTCATTTCGCTATGATTGATTGCAGCCTCTCATAGGATTGATCTTTATTGTCGTCGTTGCTATCATTGATAGGTGCATAAAACTGGCTTACATTCATTGTGATTTCTTCTCTCTTTGTTTTGAACGATGCTTTGATGATTCTGGATCCGTGAGATTCACATCCTATAAGCGCATTTCGTGCTTCTTTGGAAAGCATCAGAGCAACTCCCTGAGTGTGTGGAGCATTTTACTCTTCGTAATCAGAGTACAGCAACATATTTCTCAAATCTAACCTTTTCTGTCTGGCTTGAGTCTAATGAGTTTCACTGATTCTGAGCACCGTCAAGTTGTGTCTCCTCATTTCCATAGCTATTTAACTGGCCCTTCTGGTCTCCTACATTGTCCGGACATTCCATGTACCCATAAAAAATTTTGCTCTGCTTATCTTTTACTATATTTGATCAATATGTGTGTGATTGCGTTTTATTTGTTGTAATGATGTTACAACTTTGGGAGCAACCTGGGCGCTTCCATTGCAAACTATTTTTTTTACGAATCCATTAATGCACTTGTAAGCCATAGAACATTCACTCTGGCTTACATAATCCTCACTGTCCTGGTACCCATAATCATTATGTATTTAACTGGAGATATGGTTCGTTTTCTGAAGAGTAGTGTCGATAGAGGAAACTTTAAAAACATTTTTCATGTCTATGATCCACGTTGTTGTCCAATGATGTGGCTTAGACGACACATCATTTAAGATCAAATGGTCAAATTGTTGGAAACACATCTCCTGCTCCATAGGAATAGATGGTTGTTTCACTTCTAACTAACATATTCCTTAATATGCGTAAGTCATTTTAATTTCTAATAAGGCTTGAGTACACTTCATAGTAGTTTATCTGGACTTACACATAACTGTTTAACCTAAATGGCTAGAACTGTTATGGGTCTTCGACTACAGCTACCTCTTATACATTGTTGAAATTGGGTAAGACTTTATAAGAATGTAACTGCGGGTAATTGTAGAGTATTAATTAAGTAGGTAGTCGGTTGGTGTGTCTAGTTCTGGAGTTTGTTCCTTCCAGTAATTTTATTTCTCCAAGTCACTGCTAAGAGTGATAGTAACTTGATATAATCCTCTACTCTTGTATAGTATTCTACAGTACTATCATAAGAATCGTCAGTTAAAAGAGAATACTGTATAATCCAATTCTATAAATAACGAAAAAAAAACGTTATCATCACTCACCGTTTTCATTAATTTTTAGTTCCGAATGGTGACAATTCAAAACCCATAAATAACTCGTCTGAATTCCAGTCAAAATCCACAGACGTTATTCCAACTATTGACAAAGGAAGTTCATCAAATAATATTGAAGAACTGGATAAAGAAAATACAGAAAAGGTCACCCTAAAGTAAGTAAAGTCATCTAAAATTAAATTCATATGACTATCTTTTGTTCACTTGAGAGGTGCAATATTTTGTGTTGATCTCGGTTAAGTTTATAGGTAATTAATATCACAATTATTTTTAAAAGTAAACTACTTAACTTTCAACCAATGAGTTACATATTCACACTCCGCTCTTTTTCTACATCATTTTGAGCATCACAATTAGTCCTTATACAAAATGTTTGACTCAAAACTGACTGCATAATTTTGTACTTAATTACTAAAGTGTATATCTGTAAATTTTGCAATTTATAAAATAATTTAATTGTAGTTACGAACCAACTGATGCATCTAAATTCTTTTAATCCCAACAAATTAACGAAAATTGTTCTAAGTTTTGAATAAGCATGCATACGATGTGTAACACCAAGTTCATTGTCCTTTAAATAACTGTCAGAATAAGATTTTTATGCGTAGACTACAAAATATTGGTTAATTTTAAAGCTTTTTCAATGTTCATTTGTTTACTGAAACAGAAACTTCTATTGATAATATAAATTTATCAGTATTGATTGAGATCTTAAACCGATTGATGTTAGACCACCATTGAAAACATGGAAGCACTGGACGGTCGTTTCGTCCTATTGTGGGACTCGTCAACAGAGCGCATCCACGATCCCGCTCGCGGGATTCCAACCCAGGATCTTCAGTCTCACTCGTGAACGCTTGACCTCCACACCACTGAGTCGGCATCCAACACTGTTAATATCTAACCTCAACCAATCCACGAAATTGCGCGAGCATCTCCCATCGTACTGAAGTAGATTGCTGTCTCTAACCGACACGGAAGCCGTGACCAGTGGAGCTAATCCTTGTCAGGTAGAGACAAGTATCTACCTCAGTTTAATGGAAGATGGTCGGGAAATTTTGTGGATTGTTTGAGGTTAGATACTAATATTGTTGGATGCCGGCCGGCTCAGTGGTCCAGAGGTTAAGCGTTCACGAGTGAGACTGAAGATCCTGGGTTGGAATCCCGCGAGCGGGATCGTGGATGCGCTCTGTTGACGAGTCCCACAATAGGACGAAACGGCCGTCCAGCGCTTCCATGTTTTCAATGATGGTCTAGCATCAATCAGTTCAAGATCCCAATCAATATATGAATTTATATCTAGTAGAAATTCTGTACTATTGATTATTTCTCCTCGATTTGTTGGTTGTTTATTATTGTTAGTCGACAGAATAGAGATGTTTTGTTTTTCAATTGTTAGCCTATTTTTCATGATATAGGATTTATATCGTTTGATCAAACTCTTATACCTTTACAAATTTTATGTTTCTTCCTTTGATTTCTTTAATTTTCCAATCAAAATTATATCTATATTTATTCATGTACACATTTAATGTGGTAATGATACATTCTAAAGATTCACAATCAAATGCTAGACAGATTAAGCGTTATTTATTAGTTCGTAGAAAGGTACTTAAGCAATAATTGTACATCTATGTCCTCTGAAACTAAACCAGATGATAAAAAGTTATAACAGGTAACATGAAGTCAAACGGTGTGTGGAGGACTAGTAGTTAAAATATTTAATTTTTAGTCACTTAGTATCATGTTTGAGTACCGACCCATTTTGACTTAGGATGTCGTATGGTATCACTAACCCAAACACATAAAGTTTAACTCAAAACATGCCATGCAAATCTACGCTTGGCGAGCCACATTACTGCTTCCAGTTTATATTATGTTTCATAGATATATTCTTTGGGCAACTCCGTTCATATATTGTCTGACATCGACAACAAGCACATTGAAATTGGTCCAATTTACCAACCAATCAGGAAAATTATTCCCAAACATAGGAACAAAAACCAAACCAATGGGAGATATTACGGAAAAAAGAAGTAAACAATGATAGGTTTAAGGTCAACAAGAACCAATCAACATTGAGGTCTACAGGACAAGCTGTGAACCACATGTGGAGAAATTCGAACACTTCACTTCTACCTGGAGTTTGTGCAGATGATGTCGTCCAGAAGAACGATGAAAGCTCCACGACCAAACTATCCAGCAAAGAGAATAAAACTCCATCAAAACTGTCTGACATCACCAGTTTCAATTGATTCAAATTACTAATTATCTTATGCTTCTACTTTCTTTTCTATCTTTAACACATCAACCATTTCACTTCAAGTTTACTTAAAGTAATTGAAAGTAGGGCTAATCTGCATGCAATATAAATTTTACGAAGATGATCAAGATAATTGTACAAAAGCGAAAAGACGAACGTTTGTGTAAAACTACAGTGTACCCATTTAGAATAAATCAAATAATTAACATTTCTGGTCATCTTTAAAATGTCTAAGAAGATTGGTCGATGAGAAAAGGATTATTCAGTTTAACAGTTATTTTCTCACTCTGGTGCTAATTTATTAAGAACTGATTGTCTTGACAAAGTCAAATTACAACTCAAAGTGTAATAATAGGCTTATGTTAGTAATGTGTGTTTAAACACTTATATTTGCTTTTTAAGAGTCTTTCAATGAATTCAAATAAATTATAATCACTATTTTGAGTGATTATTAAACTAGTAGAGAACACAGTTTATCAGAATTACTCAGCTCTTTGATTAGTTTAGAACGTTGTTAGACGTATACGGGGAGTTGGTACTTCTCGGTCGCCAATTGTTAAAAGATGATTTTTAGCGAAAAGGTAACTCGACTACGGGTGCTGGTGAAAACCTGAGAATGTGAATGCAAGGCCTAAGGGACATTTACTAGTGGTCGAACACACAGTTTTTCTACGAATAAACCTTTTCTCCCACAATAGGAACCTATGAAACAAGATAAGATAAAGCATTCTTTAGGCTGATCATTTTCAAGCTCCTATTTTCGTCATGAGAAGATACCATTGCTGTTAACACTGGTTGTCTAAGAGAAACACCTACTAATGCCATATCTCTACACAACCAACAGTACGAAGTCCCCCCCTTCGGACCATGAGTTAACTACTTATAGTCTTACCACTCTCTAACCACCTTACTTGGTATGGTCAAATATAAGATGGTAACAAGAGTCTTTATTTCAGATAATGTTTTGTTCAATCTGTTAAACTGTTATGGATAAACTATAATAAATTTACTTCTTTACATTTTTTTAATATTTTTTACAGAGATTTAATTCAATATCTTCAAGATACAAATCATTGGCCAAATGAATTCTATATTTATCGTCTTCTAAATAAATCTAATCCTATTAATAATCAATTAAATAAAGATAAATTGGACAATAAAACTACACAATTAAACATGTATCCAAGTAATGCATTCAATAATGTACAAAAAAATCAATCAACACGTTCTAAATTTTTCCGTAAAAAATCATCTATCAATTGTGAATTATTATATCCGGAAGATTTTCTTAAATTAGATACTGATAAAATATCATTCAATTCTATATGGATTGTATGGTCTGATAAATGTATGTTAGCTGAAACAGCTGCTTTAATATTATTGAAACATTTATCACAGGTAAATTAATTTGATTCTATTGAATAATTATGGCAAACTATTATGTAATAATGATATGCTTGAATGTTATCATGAATATTCACCTTACTTAATAAACGGAATTGGCGAGACTCTAGTTTATGAAAGAACCTTGAACGAATCTTAAATGACCTTGACAATTATTAACCAATCAGAAGACAGTATAAAGTATTATATCATAAGAAACTAATGCATTACAGTCGATATTCTTCTTCTACGTGATTTAAAAACTTGTTATGATTTGATAAAGGCTCAGATATTCTGAAATCATAATGCATACGATATAGGAACTGGTCCATATGGCTCCATAATAGTCGTCCTCTAGAGCCATAGTATGGTCTTAAAAATTCCTTCAATCTCGACCACATGCATTCAATGTTGTTAGTATGAACGCCAGTGGTAGGGTCGACACAATGACGTTTATGCACTACAACATGATGGACATACCCAAGTCTATGAAGGCATCTATACGCTCTCCAATCATCTGTATATACCGTAGTGCCCAGCTGCACGTATTCCTGTATTATTGATATTATTGTGCTTGCTTGCCGGTTTCTGACCCTCTGAAAATGCCCCTTTTGCGTTGATCGATCATAAATTCCAAGTACCTGTCAAGTATATTTACGGAAGTGCTACTTACCCAATCTTCCTTGATACTACGTCTCCTGTTGTATTTTCGCTTTCTCACTACTGTTTCATCTATTTCCACAATACTTCCTACTTCGAATGATTGGTGTAGATGTGTCATTTTAAGTGCACATATATCACGACAATACTCATACCACTGGATGGCTGAAGTTTCAGTAACATCTGCAGACGCCGCAGCCAGTGTTACTGGTGCCTTTATCATACAATTTGCAACTATTATCATGATTTGCCTCAGTTTCAGTCGCGATCGAGCAAAGAAAGTCCCCGTTCGAGAGACTTTTTCCTCCAACATAAAGAACAATGAAATACAATCTCATCACGATAGTCTGTACACTTTACTGCAGTCATTTGATAACCGCAGTCACAGGTACAGGAACTTCTTAGTAGTCTCAACTCTTGTAGCCGTTCAATAATCACCTCTTCCCTAAAATCCGCTGTAAACCGGTCGTATGTGAGCATCAGATGTTGAACTTGGCTCCGTGACCTTGAAATTCCTCAAACGCCTCTGATTGGCTCATGCATAAATAAGAGTCTCGCCACGGAATAAAAAGTCAAAGACACAGTTAACTAGATCAAGAAATCTTCATGAGGCGTAGAGAATGTATTTTACAAGCACTCAGAAAATACGAGGTCACTAAGCACACTAATCAAGTATATTTATACAGTGATAGAAATGTCATCGGGAGAGCCACAAAATAGCGTACTAAAAAAATCTGAGTAGGAAATGTAAGCTGTAGATTATATAAGAGTCTCTTGGCGCGAGAACGTAAAATTCAAATTTTCAGAATAAAATTACAAAATTAAGACCTTTTCCAAGTATGGGTTCTGGGAATCTAACGTCCTCAACAAATACTATTACCTATCTAAACTGAAATTGTGTTAATTTTAATTGATTAATAACAATATGGATTTGTGATCTAGCTTAAGTTGACTACTGAGATTTTGAATGAGTTTTATAAAGATAATTTTTAGTTGATATACAGGTGAAAACCAGAAAACATTGGTTAGAGTTGGTTTTGTTAGAATCATTCAGTTTATCGTTCAATGATATACATTTCTAACTTTGATCGACGTAAGATTATTCGCTATGGTAGCCTATTAAACTAACTGGTTACTAGAAATAATAGGGAATTTTATCTCCAAAGGTTGTCGTCTAAATATATATATATATATATATATATATATATATATATTCGGTATACATCTCCAAATTAAGATATTTTGTATTGCCTCTTTTTTATTTCAAATAAAGTTTAGGTAGAAATTATACACATTCATCACAAAAGCGTGAATGTATTCGTCCTACCATCGAAAGTATTCCAACTCTCTTGTTTGTTACTGTTAGCTAATTATGCATTCAGTAGTAGATAAATGTTTTTGTCATCGAACAACATCAATTTCTAGAAACGATTGTCAGTAAGGGATTGTGGAGATTGTTAGAAATGATTAAAATCATGGAACGATCTATGTTAAAACATCATTGTAAAACTGGTAGCACTGGATGTGTATTTTGCCTCAGTATGGGGCTCCTCAGCAGTTATGACCATCGATCTTACACGTGGGAATTAAACTGAGGGCCTAGGGTCTCGCGCGCAGTCTCCTAACGTCTAAACTACTAGGTGCTCATCCAACGGTGTTAGTGTCTAACTTCAATCAATCCATGAAATTGGACGACCATCACTAGTGACAAGCTTTGAGAGGAAATTTTCAGAGTTCTAGTTAGAAGCCGTGACCAGTAGAGATAATCCATGTCAGGTGTGAGGTAATTACTCACCAGAGACAATCGCTTAAAAGCCCACAAATTTCCTGGTGCAACCGAGTGTGGGGAGAGTTTTCTCTCTCTCTCTTGAAGTAGTCTCATATGACCACGCATATACAGGCACTGCCAGGGAAGTGCTACTCATTACCCTCTCACAACAGGGCTGTTGTTTGCGAAACTGAGAGGGCGAGAAGCGAATATTTAGCACTTCAACTGGGTTGGTGACCCACCTATGGGAGTTGGTAAACCCTGATTCTAAACCGATGGTGGACATGGGCTCCATGATTCTAAGGGAACATATGGCGTACGAATCTATTATTGGTCACTGGCTACCATGTGACCACATCTTTTAACGTTAACTGCCTTGTGGATTATACCTCTAGATCAGACGCTTGAAGATGGCTTCCTAATGAAACTATCTGCTTCTGTTTGGGCACTCGGAGAGTATGTCAGCCGACATACAAATTGAATGTTAACTACTTTATGTAGCGCATATTTATTTTGATATTCGTTTGTACCAATGTTTATGTGTTTAAATTAATAAGTAAATGAGTGAAATCCCTCTAAAACGGAAAGTTGATCACTTTCTGAAATGGCTTCATAGTATGCGTAGGACCAACACCTTTTAGTTCACCACCATCTATAGATCGTGCAACTCAGTGGCCTGAAACATTCTCATTTATGGCTCAAAATAGGAGCTAGTGACGACTTCGCCTTAGTTCTTATTCAATTCTTCAAATAAAGGAATTAAATGTTTTTCATCTCGTTGTTGAAATCATATACATATCCGTTGCATAAGTTATTGACTGTTTGATCTCAGTACCTTAGTGGATAATGCAATTCCGTTGGGAGCGATAGGTACTGAGTTCAAGTCTTAGTGTGAACATTAACACTTCGGTCCAAGTATAACCAGTTGACGGGTTCTGAATAACACTGCTAACTTCAATCAAAATATGCTAAAACTTGTAACAAAAAATCCACATCAAACCCATCATTTAGTCAGGATGCATATAAGCTAGCAAAGACTAATCAAAATTTACTCCAAATTATCGTGAAAGGGTAAAATAAACCATTTTAAATAAACATTTTCAAAATATTCTTTCTCCCATTGGAGCTATAAAGAATTAGATAATTAGTCAACCATTTTTTGATAAGTACTATTGTCATTTTTCAACCAAATTCAACTGTTCTAGGTACATTCAAGAATGTGTTCTTAAAAAATGTTCATTTCAATCGTTTGGTGTAGAAAATCTCTAATTACAATAGTTGAAATCATGAGTCAATTGAAGCTGGACCAACATGGAGGCACTGGATGGCCGTTCCGTGCTGTTGTGGGACTCCTCAGAAGAGCGCATCCACGATCCCGTCCCCAGCGAGGTTCCAACCCAGTACATATCAGTCTCGTGCATAAGCACTTAACCATTAAACCACTGAGCCGGCCGGCGTCCAACGGTGTTAATGTCTAACTTCAACTAATCCACGAAATTCAGCGACACATCCATCATTGTCTTCAGTGAGCTGATATCTCACAACAGACCTGGTTGAATTCCACTGGTCACGGCTTCACACTAGAACTCCAGGAAACGCTTCTTGAAGTCAGTCACTAGTGAGCAGATGATTATTATCAGAATGGGTTTTGTGGACATTTTAGTAATTTCAATAGTTGAAATGATGAGTCAATTGATGCTAGACCACCATGGATGCGCACTGCTGAGGAGTCCCATACTAGGACGAAACGGCCTTCCAGTGCTTCCAGGTTTTCCATAGTGGTCTAGCTTCAATTGAATCATGATTTCAACTATTGAAGTTACTAAAATCTCCACAAAACCCCTTCTGATAATCTCTTATTAACTGATTGTATTTCCTAACTTTTAAATTTAGAATAATTCGATTTCATCTTTATCTTTTTTTATTATTTTCAATAACCACTTCACATCCCAATACACTATTATTCTCCATAGACTGAAAAAAATATTCGGTTAGAAAAAGATGCTTTACATCCAGCATATAATATTATACTTCAACAACATAAACGCGATCGTGGCTCAGAATTCCCATTGATGAATTCATCATTTAATGAAACAACTGATGATTATGAGACAGAAATACAAACTAATCAATCGAATACAATCAACTCTAGTAGTTCTAGTAGTTGGCTATGGTGGAGAAAACGAAAACAAACTAATCCAAGTGATATTAGTTCAGATTCTGGTTCACAAGATTTAACTTATCAAGATTTATCACATCAACATTCTTCTGTACAATCAATGCTAGCTCCAATTGATCTTGGTATATCAAGTCCAGTTTTAATTCAAGAAGAATTTGATCAAGAGAATTATGGACGGTGAGCATAAGTGAAAAATAATTTATTTTTTATAAGAATTCTATACTTTATTAACTGGTAGTTTAGTTAATAAGAAGTAAGCTGTGTATAGATCAATTGAATAGTTATGCAAACATTCATTTGTATTTGTCATTTGGATCTTCCCATTGATGTTTAAGACTGAAACTGAACGGTCTCTTATTGACATATGTGCATCATGTGAGGATTGCTTCGATATTTCCCCAAATCACAAACATTATAAGCATGGGAAGATGGTAGCTAGCAGAAGAGTTGGTAGCACAGTGAATGATCTAAAGGCGTTTGAAATAAACGATACTGTGTTTGAGTGACGGAATGAACGTCAACTCTGTTATTCAGGTACATTCAGCTGATAAGTCCCAAATAAGACAAATCTCGCGTCCTGGACCCCTCTGCTAGCCATTATCCATTTCTAGATATGTGTGTCATTATAAAGTTTGTTCTATTTCATTCTGATAAATTCGATAGCAAAAAGTATTTACAGTTCAAGATAGAGAATGGTTTACTCTAATCTTTAATGTACCTTGTCGTGAACGTTTTATCATCAAGATTTGGAGTCATGTCATTCAAAGTCAATAACTAATGTTTACGACAATCACGAGGACCCCAAGCAGGTAGTCTACACCTATTAATATGACTCAGTCCAAATGTTAATTACTTCATAGACTGATGCAATGTTTTGGTTTTGCCGCCCCTAGTTTTCTTGCAGCCTACTACACTAGACAACATCACCAGTCGAGATATGCGCTGATTGGGCATACATAACACATTTCTCAATCATCTCAGTCGATGAAGATTGTCTAACTCATCAACCGACTTGTCATCCTTATCTAATGCCCTATTCCTAACCAGTCAAGGCAAGTGGTGATTGGGTATATGTAACACGTCCCAATCGTGTGAAAAATGAGAAAGAAAAGGAGCATAAAACAAACAACTCCCCCCATGTATCAGAATACTTGAAAACATTTAAATGGGTTTGCAATTCGTAAAAGTGGACATTTCAGTAGTTAGTATTAATTAAGCTCAAGTAGTATTATGTGTACTCTATTCCTATAGGGTTATATAGTACCAGAACTTGTGAAAGTATTAAACATTTTCATATCTAGTCACAAACACTAGTAGTTCTTTTGAGATACGAATTGTGACTTTATTTTAAAGTGTATTGTATAATTTTATTTAACTGGATCCAAATTTTATTCTTGTTAAAAAACGCCTCTGATTTTTTGGTAATTATATTATATAGTCTATACTATCCTAGATACATTCTCGTAGCTCAATTGCTCAGCATTGTATCTGTCAATTTACTCCATCTTATCCAAAGATGAGACCGAAAATGACATGAACATGTTTTTTATGTAACCGCCTATCAACCACACATATCGTAGTGTAACATCTGGTTAAGCCTAAGTAGGTAGGGCAAGGCTTGAATGTCACTGCCCCCGAAGTTAGAAAAAGCCGCACTGTTTCAAATTCTGCACCCAAGAAATGTTGTCTTACCTCAGGGAATTGCACTCATGGTTGTGATGTACATTCCTACGAACAACAGTCCAGTAACTTTCAATAATCTTACAATAGATAAAGACTGGACATTGAGTGTTTTTATTGCAGTCGTTCATGATCAATATAATAACACTATTCAAATTACCTCCTTCGTCCAGACGGTTTTGAGGATCCGCTAGGTGTTCTACGGCCATCATGAATCGCATAAAGGCAGTACATGTGTTTATTGATCTTTCAACTAATAAGCTACCGTCACATAACTCAACAACTGATAGCTTCGACTGATAATTGTCGTTACTTTTTAATCTATGTCAGTTTTGATTTTTAACTTATTACTTGTTAATTGTATTGTCAATTCTCACATTTTAAATTTTATTATCATATCCTGTACAATCTCATACTGGGAACGAATATTATTTGAACAGTCCTTACAATCTGCCTAAAAGTGAATTGTTAAATGCACCAACTACTGCTAAAATTCCTTTACATTCTTCAGCAATCGATGTAAGATGTAGTAAAACACCAGATCCTTCACAGACATCATCTCCTGAAGAGGCAGGATATTTCTCGGATGATAATCAAAGTAATAATGCTTATCATAAAAAAACAACTGCTAATATTGAGTCGAGGAGTTCAATTCAACAAGCAAATCGTTTAACATCTCAACAGCTTGTAAGTTGACAAATATCAATTCTTCTTTACTAGTATGTTTGTTTATAATTAACAAATATTTATCCTATAATTTAATTACAGTTTTGAATTTTTTTTTAAAAAAGTGATCTCAAGGATTTTTGGTTTAAGCTATGGTAGTTCACTTGATATTTTGATTGTTTTAAGTCTATAATTAGACTTATTCCATTGATTGTAGTTTCCTTCTAAGCACTTCTCGCGTATCATGGATGATAAATCCTGAGATTAAGCATAAGTTGCTAAACAAAGATAGGAAATCGATAGGTGGGAGTATAAATCTCCTGAGATTGAGATAGTTGAGACGTGTGTTATGTATGACCGACTACCTCGACTATATGATTCGCGAGAAAGAATGAATTCGTGGAATGAAAAGTACTAGATAGTTTAGATGCTTAGGATCTACAAAAAAAAAGAGTGAATGTCCTTAAGCCATTGTGAGCAATTCTGAACCATGCATCATTCATCCGACTGATAGAATTCTGGATAAGATGATGTAATGTGAATTTAAAGGAATCGTAAAATTCAGTGTATTGCTTTGTAACCTATCAATAGTGATTCTCTGTTTTCTATAATAACTAAAGTTCCCCAAAAATTACTGGAATTTGGACTTTTAGTTGGAACGTTGTATAACATGTGTCGTATAAAAGGTTTCTTAAAGGTCTTTCAATAATTTGACCCTCCTTATGTAAGTATCATGATATTATTATATATATTACCTGAAAAGTACAGGTACATTCGTACTAAAACCTTGGACCATACTAATCACATAATTAGCAGTGATACTGTGAATTCTTGATATCATTTCTTTGGTAAAGCTGACGATATTATTGAATGACATTTATGTCTTTAAGATGATTATTTAGTCTGTAGTCTTATTGCAATCATGTATCAATCAATGTTAGACCACCATTTAAACCTGGAAGCACTGGACGGCCGTTTCGTCGTGGTATGGGACTCCTCAGTAGTACGCATCCATGATCTAACATCGATCGGTTCATGGTTTCAATGAAATTCAACTACCTACACAAACCCAAATCGATAATTTGTTATGCTTTAGTAATCATCAGACTTAGCATTACTTTTGTTTCCGAGGTTTAATTCAAAATACAGATAGACTGACTAAAGAGTCTGTACAATCTTTTTTATTAAATCTTTTTCACTGTATGTGGTAGAACGTGTTCGACTTCTTTTATCTACAATACTGATATCCTTCATACAACTTTATTTTGTCTTCTTTTGTCGACATGATCTATATAGGTATGTCCTGCCTATTATGTTAACAACTTTCTAAAGAAACATCCGACATTATTCATTAGTGTAAGGAATTTGTGGAGATTTTTGACTTGTAAGGTTTACATCATGAAGTGACTTTAGTTAGATAGTCATTAAAAGGCATAAAACACTGGACAACTGTTTCGTCCTAGTATGAAACCTGTTATCAGTGCGCATCCATAACTACATCGGTAATTGAACCCAGAACTCTCAGTTCTCTCGGCGTCAGCTTAACCTTGAGATCACTGATTCGGTATTCAGTGATTTACATTTCTAATTTCAGTCAATTCATCACATTGCATAGGAATCTTCTAATGCCACTGATGGATAAGTATTTCAGGTTCGATTTGGTTGAACTCCACTAGTCACAGCTTCTAGTTAGAGCTTCAGGGTTTAGTCACTGGTGAGCACATTATTATTATTAGCTTAATGAGATTTGTAGTTAGTTTGTAATGCTGCAAACCATAATATTAGTTGATTGAATAATGAAATTCTTGATAACTTATTTCAATATTATTTTGTTTTGAAGAAAAGCCTTAATTTACACAAAGGTGCAAATGAAGCGGTTTTTTCTGTTGTCAGTAAATATCAAGGTACTTGTCAATGTGCTTGTTTTATATATCTATGGGATTGGTCTGATAAAATTGTAATATCAGATATTGATGGAACAATAACAAAGTAAGTAAGAGAAGTGATTTTCACATGAATTTTGTTCTATTTCTATTGATTAATATGTTGTAAAAGATAATTAATCAATTTTAACATAAGATATCTAGAAATTTAGGTTGGCTATAGCTAAAATCATAGATTAACTCATTGTTGATCATCATAAGAACTCTGAATATTAATGATCTTGTCATTAATGTATTCTCTTCATTAGATAATGTTTATAAAAACTGTCAAAATTACTTACTTACTTACGCCTGTTACTCCTTGTGGAGGAGCACAGGCCGCCGACCAGTACTCCTTATCCAACCCTGTCATGAGCAATCCTTTCCAGTTTATTCTCTCACATAGTAGGCTGTTAATGATAGTATCCGGCCAACGGACATTCAGTATCTTACGTAGACAACTGCTTATAAATACTTGTACCATCTTGACGGCGGTTGTGGTAATTCTCAAGGTTTCAGCTTCATACTGTAGAACTGTCTTGACATTCGTATTTTCAAAATTAATCCAACGTTAATGATATGGACTGTTAATTGAGTGATTATTATGTTGAACATAATGTTATTTTCAGTATATTGTGGGATATTATGCATTTTCTTATCAAGCCTAATCTAGCTTGAGAGTGAATGAAGCTTCTATAAAGTTGTTCATATATTTGATATTGTTGTAACGGGTGTGAGATTGCAGGTTTTTGGTAAGCAACGTATTATTTATCGATCGCTTCTGTGACAGTGACACGTAATACACGTAAGGGACGACCTAGTGCCCTGATTGGCCTTGCTTCGCTGTCTGTCCTAGCCAGTTGAGTCAAGAACACAAGTCACAGCCTCCGAGTTATGAATCATTGTATTTCAGACATACTCTATTTATATACCAAACAAACAAACCACATCGTACCATAAACTAGGAAACAACATTTACAAAATACTTAACAAGTGAAATAAACATCGACCAATAGGAAATGTTCATTTAAGGTCCAAGGCCACCATAGACTTAACACGATAATTATTGGTATATTTTTCCGACTATCCTAACAGATATTAAATAACATCACTTCTTGGATTTCATACAGATAGCTAAAAGACATCACCTTGTTCTTGATCCTAGAACCTGCAACCAATCTCTACTTGTTCAACTTTTTATTACATTTGATAACGGAATATTGTGAAGAGATCACCATGAGGCATAAAAAACAGACAAATTAAATGGTACTAGCTATGGTGAAGGAAAATAGGATAGGAAAGGGTAAGGAAAACCAAGAAACGTTTTGGCCGGACAGAGACTTGGTCAAGGTCTGTTTTAGACAGAATCATGTTGAAGCGCTCTGACTGATCCATTTCCAACCAATCAGCGCTAATGAGGGGGTTGAGAAGATTAGAATATTCTTGTGTTAAGCTAATATGTACACTGTGCTATGTCCAATTGTCTGTAAATTACCACGTGACGAGATCGTCATTCAGAACACCGATCTATACATTCTTGACCCTATGACAAACTAATGACGCTCTAGCCTATAGTCTACTCTGAGTCCTTATTAGTTCTTCTATCCTAGCCCTACCCGTTTGAGTTGAGAAAACAATCTCAGCTTACACCGTATAAATCATGTATTTCAGACATACTCAGTTGGTATAAAAGCGAACCAGACCACATCATACCGTAAAATAGAAAATAACAATTATACAAGATCAAGTCCAAAGCGGGTGTGTAAGAGACTGTAACTAATAGATTGGGGATAACTTAAGAATAGTAAATCGTATAATAATAGCCAATAAGTCAATCGAAAGTTTATGATAAAAGGAATATATATATATATATATATATATATATATATATATATATATATATATATATATATATATATATATATATATATATATATATATAATAGTCCATAAGTAATTACTAGTAATTACTATTCATTTATTCTTCGATCGGATATAACACACATTTTGTTACCTAGCTTGACTTGCTGTTTTACTTCTGACCAAATTTACATTACTGTCCAAGTCTTGTTTGTTTAGGGAATCGGTCACCTGAAGTGAAGTGTTCAAGAATACTAGGCCGATGAAGACTTAAAACAAAAATATAAGTAATACGTTATTAAATATACTTAAATAAAGATAAACACTTGGTACAGCTTTTATGTCACACGTCCTAAGTAGTTTCATTCGAACTCTCTAATTATTGATTACATTTATCACATAGCTTCAAATCGAGGATGTTTTTGATTCCATACATGATACAGACCTAATGAACTGATCCTTGCACCTACTTAGCATTTGTCTAACTGTCTCTTATGTCAATCAGTGTGACATGGTTCGATAGGAGACGGCAAAGTATGCGTAACATATGTTGATAATGGTTTAGTTCCTCATCGACTAGTTAGCCGTTTCCAACCTTCGTCTGACATCAATACGGATCAACCAATGATTCTACCACAAGCTATAAATACATCAAGCAGATCTATACTTAGCGTACATGTAGAGATTTTCTTGAATTTTACTTCCGTAAACATTTATAAAGTTGGACTGGAGCCAGTGATACTTTTGCTTTGATAGGTGCACAAATTTTCTGTTTGATCAATGACATAACTTATCAAAAGTCGGAAAAACTATGTGTTGAAACTAAAACTTCACCACACAGTCTCTTAGAACAGCATTATACATCCATTTGATTTTGCAGTTTTGGTGAGAATCTGTAAATTTTATGTTTGATTAATCTAATAAGTAAATAAATGGCAAATTTTTTGTGTAAACTATTCTCAGTGCACTTCCTACTTTTCTTACTGATAAACCATCTACTTAGTACTTTATGTATCGTATAGGACACCAGTGAAAAACCTGTGCACAGTCAATCATGTCTCAAGTGAGATAATCAATCATCAGTGTGCACTGTTTGAAATATGGATTGTTGGATTTCATCTTAAATTGTTTGGAGTTACGATGTTTACAACTCATGAGACTTCAAAGCGTATAAGCCTAATCAAGTTTTGGGTACGCATTGTTTTGATGCCACAAACTCTTTACTCTAGCTGCTACCTTGATGTGGCATTAGGGCTTGCTTATCATGGTGACTCAGTTGCGTTATATTGACTAGAGTACTCGTATGTCCCTTTAGGTCCTAGCGTGTTAGTAGGTCAGTTAGAGAATAATAGAACTGAAATCAGAGGACGAAATCGTACAGTTGATTGTACTGAGATGTGACATCAGTAGGGTTTTTCCCGCAAACAACTATCATCCTCAATGTTGACAAATTGTTATAACGAAAAGACAAGGTTAGAGGCCGGTTCGCAAGAGCCACAGCTCTTCTTGTTCCACAAATTTCTCTTGCTGACGATAAGCACATCAAATTACAAAGCTAACAAATGAAGAACTTCTAACGAAAATGCCATCTGTGATTAACCTCAAGTAGTTGTTCTATAGGCTCTAAGGATATACTCTCAGATCGACAAGATCACTCCTGATGTAGTTTTCTTTTCAGGTACCCCAGGTAAAAGTATACTTCTTCAGTTTGTGAGATAGGAAAGTAACAACTCTTCACATAACTCTATCAGCAGAAACTATGACAAAATAATTGTTTCTTAATACTGGTTAATAAAATATTTCATTTAATAATTATAGATCAGATTGGTTAGGACAATTGATGCCATTGGTTGGAATGGATTGGACTCATCATAATATAGCTCAATTATACAATAAAATAGCTAATAATGGATATAAATTTATTTATTTATCTTCTCGTCCTATTGGTCAGGCTAGAGCAACAAGGAAGTTTCTTTATACCATTCAACAAGATAATTATCGTCTACCAGATGGTCCAATACTTTTATCACCATTTTCTGTTCTGGAAGCATTCCGCAAGTGAGTAATCAAATTTATCGTATGCATTTTCAAATATGCGTATATAGATTTTCAAACTAAGACGTAGGATCAGTTTATGAAGCCATTGACTGTCGAGTTAACCCTATGCAGTTGGGTGCAGATTATCTAATTGGGTTCCTGACGATTATCATAACCAATGTTTAGTGATGTTGGGTGACATGGTTTGGAGTTGGTCACAATTACATAAATGCATTCATTCTCGTACATCTCGAGTCTTAAAATTCGTCTTGTTTTTTTTATTCCACCAATTCATTCTTTCCTCCCAAATCATATTGTTTACAGCAAAAATTTTCTACTGACAACAATACTGTTACTACTTCTACTACACTTGTATTTGTCTTGATAATTTAATCTCACTGTGCCATATGTGGTGTGGCAATTTGAACAGATACATATATGTTCTCGATTCTGTTTTCCGTATGTCTAGCTGACTGGTAGGTTGTTTGTTGTCAGTAAAATTTCCAAGTTTTTCAGTATGCTGTCTCAGTTTATAAATAAAAGTTAACTAACATATACCACATGTATTAGTCAATACAAAGTATGATATACTCGTGGATGCGTATGCTGAGGAGTCCCATACTAGGACGAAACGGCGGTCCAGTGCTTCCAGGTTTTCTATGGTGGTCTAGCTTCAACTGACTCATGACTTCAATCTGTGAAATTTTTATTAATAAACATTGTTTTTATAATTGTTTTCAGAGAAGTAATTGCAAAACGAGCAGATGAATATAAAATTGAATGTCTTCGTGAAGTATGCAATTTATTTATTGGTGATAAACTTAATCATCAAAATGAAGATGAAGAAGATAGTATTCCATTTATGGCTGGATTCGGAAATCGACCAACAGATATAGCAACTTATAAAGCAATTGGTTTACATGATCATCAAATATATACAGTTGATTATTTAGGTAATGTAATATGTGGTGATCCAGGAGAAAATGAAAAAGATAAGAAATTAAAGAAAAAGAATAAAACTTCTCATGTTAATTCTAATCAACAATTAAATAATGAGAATAAATCTACTTCTAGTGTTACAACTACTTCAGAAACAATTATCACATCATCAACAATATCTTCTGATAGTTTAATTAATACTACTACTAGCACTACTACTACTACTACTACTACTACTACTACTACTACTACTACTACTACTACTAATAATAATAATAATAATAATAATAATAATAGTAATAATAACACAGGACTAACTACTACAACAGTATACGCTAATAGTGTATTAGCTAAACTTAATTTAGATTCATTATTACAAATGGTTGATGTATACTTTCCACAAATGAATGATCGACTTATGTATGCTACAAATTATTCAGATTATACATATTGGAGAATGTAAAGAAGAATTAATCAGACAATTTTTGGATTGTTTATTTTGTTATCAATATTACTATTATTATTATTATCTTCTACGATGATTGCAAATCTGAAGCGTTTTCACTTTGATCCAAATTTAAAAGCATTTATCATGTAGATATTTTTGTCGACAACAACAATAATGATTATTGTTATTATTATGTCATTAATCATTGGCACTTCCCTCCTCTCTCCCTCCCCCCCCTTCCCTGATGTATCCATTTTATAAGACATTGTGAACGGATTCCAGCTACTACTCATCTCAATCAATATTAGTTGATGTATGTGCAATTTCTTTAAAGACTAGGTTTTCTTTTTTTTTAAAAAAATAAAGAGAAAACAGGAAATTTTTATACAAAAAACTTTTTATTCAAGAAGAGTATTATTACTATTATTAGTAGTAGTAATGTTATTTTGAGTCTTGAAATTATAATATGATTATTGTGTGTTATGAATAAATGTTTGACATATTCGTTTGTTATGTTAATTACATTTCTCAGTCCTACAGGAGGTCAGTCGCGGCTCGGATAGCTCAGTGGTAACGTCTCTGATTGTGAAGCTGGGTGACACGGGATCGAATCCGCCAGGGAGTACCAGTTCCCTCAACATTACAGGTACACCTTGCTGACCAGTGCCAAGTAACATGAAACCTGGGTTCAGGGTTTCCTATCGACTACCTCCAACCACCATCTAACGTACTGATTTGTTTATTTAGGTGAATGAATTTTTTATTGATGATTACCACCGGGTGACTTTCTTCTTTTCTTGATATGAATTTTAGAGTATATATATATATAGACCATATTTGAGATGTTTACAGGGTTAATAAGAGAAAAAAGGAATGAAAATAGCTGTTATGTGGGATTTAGAATTATTGTTAATCTTCAAAACAGATGAATCCGATGTTTGATAGGTCATTTTGAGGATAGGAAGCTTGAAAGTTTACTATTCACCTGTAACACTAGTAATAGGTGGTTATGTATTATGATGGACTGACTGTAATTATAGGAGCAGTGGTGTGCGAGATAACCCGAGTACTGATTATTCCACCTAGATTGGGCCTATATAGGATCAATGATCTTCGATCAGTCAATCATTAAATAACAGTGAAACAAAAGCCAAGATCAATCCTTAACATCTTTTGATCCAGAATGCAGTTCTCTCATGTTTGCTTATCGGGTAGCCAGATTAGAACTCTAAAAAAGCAAGTAGATAGCTTTTATTTGTACAGATCAATTTTATGACTCAACTCACAATAATACAGAGTAAACTGTTGACCATACACTAATATAAATATAAATTACAATATATTCATAACTACACGTATAAGTGAAAGAAACAGTTCCATCCGTAATTAGGAATAACTTGAGAAAGGTAAAACATAACAATAGTTTGTGTCTAACAAAGGCTTACAAATAGTAGAGAAGTAAAACGATTCAATAATCGAAGTATTTAGTAGCTATACAATAAAAATCGGAAAAACGTTTCGGTAGAACCTTACGAAACATTCATCCATGATCAATATTTGTCCCATTATAGCAACAGCAAATCACCTGTTTAATCAGTTATTTTCTAATTGATGATAAGAGGATCCAAGGTTTTATCAACTATCTAGAGTGGTGTTTGAAAGGTAGCGGTATTGAAACCTACCTGAAAACACTACAGTTGTTAGATCTTGTGAAGTGTTTTATACATCAGTTCGAAGAAGCATTTGATAACCCTGTGTTCATTAGACTGGTTGACTTAATTATAACATAGGTCTTATTGATGTTTTCTAGAAGGAAAATTAAAATTTCTTAATTAAACTATTCAGATCAGAAAATTGAATATCATTACAATGTTAAGCAAACGCCTTATGATCGAAGTTCATCGATTTACATATTCAGATGACAATTTACTAAAACACATTACAAAAATTTATCTCTATGAATTATGAACTCAGTTAACGATGTGATAAAATCAATACATAGCTGTTACCTATGTAAAGTTCCTTTGAAGAGGAAACCAGAAATAACAATATTTCTGAGGTGAAACAAACTACATAGGCAGCTTTTTTATCCTTATAATTAAGGAACTACTGAAATAGAGCAACGTCTACATTTATTTATTCATTTATAAAGTTAAAAAAATGTTTATTTTGAAGAGAGAGAAAGATAAATCAACATGAAAACTTAATGATGGTTCATGGTCATTGAGCAATGAGTTCATAGATGTTAGTTATTCTCTTCTTCTTTTATCATACATTGACAATTTATTGAATATTAAATTCACTTCGTGTTGTTATTTACTTGGATCTTCACATTGATGTTTAGAAGTATAATTGATCAGTGTCTTGTTACCATATATGTATCACGTACAGCTTGCCTAGATATTGTGTCAAGTCACTAGCATTATAAATTTGGATATAATGGAATCTAGGATGCGAGTTTCGTCCTCTTTCAGGGTTTATTGGTTACCGGAGCTCAGTAGTTAAGTAGTTAGCACGATGGTGTTTGTAGCAAACAGCAATGAATGCGTGCACGTCCAGCTGACGAGTCCCAAATGTGAAGAGACGCAGTGTTCAAGTACTGAACTCCTAGCAGCCTTCATCTCGACTTTGTAGAATCAAACTGGAGTATGACAAAGCATGATTATCTTAATATGACAAGTGATGTTAGATTAATTGCTCTCAGGATTACTCATTAAGTTGTTGAAACTGTTAATAGTTATTAAACATTATGGTGTTTTAAACACTATTGTTTACATTAAAATAAAATGTAAAAACTTTGTAATAAAGTTTATCTAAGAAATCATAATCAGTAGGTGGTTATATTCACTTGTTGTTTACTTGCATCACTCTCTTGTTGGAATATGTGCATCCTGCCTTGATATTGCCTGAAGTCACAAGCTTTATAAGCAAATAGGGTGTTGGAATATTCAGGAAAATATCCCAAAAATTATCATGTTAAGCCTAATGCTATCCTTGGACATGAAATGGTATCATCTTATTGGTTAATATTTATTTAACGTGTTATTTTCCTGTTGGCCAATATTGTACAATGTTATTTTCTATTTTGTGGCACGTTGTGGTCTGCTTGACTGGTATATAAACAAAGCATGCTTGAAATATAATGATTCAAATATCCGAGGCTGTGACTTGCGTTCTGGACTGAATTGGCTGGGTTAGACAGGGAAGCGAGACCAATCAGAACCCTAGGTCGTTCTATGTGTTTGTGCGTCTTTGGTCCGATCAATAATTCGCTACCCTCAATCAGCAGCATTCATTTTTCACGTTATAACATAGGGATAGCACGAAACGCGTGTCCTGCATTCCACTGCTAGCTACTGTTCATCTTTGTTTATAAAGTAGATTGTAATGTTCTCTAAATTGAATGAGTTATCTGTAAAGCACTCGTCACTTTTTTACACAGTGTAACTAACGCAAGCTGTAAGCTGAAAATAAAGGTTTTACATCGGATTCGTTTTTGGTTTGTTGAATAGAGAACGAACAATTTGAAATGGTTTATATCAGATCGTAAGTGATAATCATAATTAAACCGCCTTGCCACTTAATCAGGCATGAATTAGCTCAATGTGTGAGAAAGTTGATGGGTCTGTAAACATATAACGTTAAGTAATATATGAATACATTTCACCTTTACAACAAATATCTACATTTCTACTGACTCCACACTGACGTGAATGTCAGATTTCTAGGAATCTGTTAACATTCTTAAAGTTTAAAATTTCTGTAAGATTAAGGTTGTATTAAGGCTTAACTAATCATGTGATATGAACAGAAACAAGCGTCATTTATATTCCATTTTAATGAATTGATAGAAAGCCATCGGTTTCAAAAGGTTTGAAAAAAGTATGCGTTTGAAAAGATGCTGTTTCTTGTCAGTCATAAGAAACAAACAATCTGGCACATATATGCATCAATTCAAATCACCATATCACATACATATGCACAATGGGATGAAATTTTCAAGACAAATACCAGCGTTGTAGAAGTAGTAACAGTATTATTGGTAGTGCAAGAGATTAGGTATAGACAATATAACTTGATAAGAAAAAATGAATTGGTTAAATAATAATCAAAACGTTAATTTTGAGGCTGAAGACCTAAAGGAAGACAAAGTGTATGCATTTGCTCCATTGTAACCCATTTCGAACAATCTCACTCTATATCACCAACTATTATTTACGAAAACCACACGGATCCCAACCTACCTACATCAGGTCATTTCAATAGTCAATGACTTCATAGACTGATGCTATGTTTTAGTTATTGTCAATTACTTTTGTCTCACTTTAGCAAAATTTGCTAACGTTTAATATCATCTCCATTTCACTCTCATTTTTCCAGACTCAGTTAAAGATCTTTATTCACTCTCATTGTTCCAATGAAACTACGATTTTACATTTCAATTTATCAGAAGGGGTTTTGTGGAGATTTTAGTCATTTCAATAGCCGAAACCATGAGTCAATTGAAGCTAGACCACTATGATCTGTTGTGAGATATCAAATTCTTGAAGACAATGGTGGATGCGCCGCTAAATTTCGTGGATTAGTTAAAGTTAGACATTAACACCGTTGGATGCCAGCCGTCTCAGTGGTGTAGAGGTTAAGCGTTCGCGCACGAGACCGTTATGTCCTGGGTTCAAGTGTCTCGGGAGGCGGGATCGTGAATGCGCACTGCTGAGGAGTCCCACAACAGGATGAAACGGCCGTCCAGTGCTTCCAGGTTTTCCATAGTGATCTAGCTTCAATTGATTCATGATTTCGACTATTGGAATTTCAATTTACTACAAATTTCCATTTTTTCTTATAACTAATAATGTTATCTATATGATTCATAAGTCTAATATCATATGAGGTACATATAAATTTCATTAATAATTCTGACAGTATCAAATAGAAATACACCTACATACATGTTGTCATCTCCGTCATCATTATGACATTTCTAAGTGATTCTTAACTCTGATAAGGTTTACATTATTATACACTTTAATTAATTGAGTAAATGAAACATTCCGATGAAAATATTTTTCTTCATTCAACTTTAATAGATAAATGATAGTAGGTACATTGTTGTTTTTGTGAGTCATTTCATCACAAATTCATACTTCACTGTCTTAACATAAATCAATGGTGACGTCTCAGACTGTGAAGCTGAATGGTGCTAGTTCGAATCCCATCAAACATCTCGAACGAATGTCAATCAGCACAGAAATTAAATTCAAAATTTCCCCTTGACTTATTCCAGCCACTTGATACCTGAACATAGTGTGTAAAATTTTGAAACACATAAACTAGTGACTACACTGCAACTCTATAGACAGATTTCAATTAACACTAAAACACTAGACAAACATGGTCAATTAATTGTTTATTTAGAATCAAGCAACTAATAAAGTATACCTTAGAAAAATTTTCAACTGATTTATATGACTTGATGTCTTTTATTATTCGAATATGAATAATCAAAGTTGAAAAGGACAGTCACAAAATAGCTAATTAAGTTTCCCATCACATCAGTCACAGCATTTCTTAGTCTATATTTTCGTGTTAACAACCAGTGCCAATAATATTATTAAATCTATTTACAAAAAGACAACGCGTTTATACGAAACTACGAAAGATGTATTGCAGTGGAATCGAGTACGAGCGTATCGTCCTATTTGGGACTTGTCATCTGAATGTAACAGCATCATAAAGTTGATGTTCACTCCAGGAGTTAAGGTAATCCGTACAGGATGCACATATGCCGATAAGAGACTGACCAATTGTGGTCCAATACATCGATGGGAAGATTCAAACAAATGATAAAAAATGAATTGCATACCTTTATATTATTTTCTCACTGAAATACAACAGTCACATTGCAATATCTATCTATATTAGTAAATTTCACTGTAAAATAACACTTTCTGCATATCACTATTTGCCCATAACTTTATGTCTTGAGGTTATTTCCTAAATGATTCTTGTCTCATTTTAAAAGTTACATTTTTTATGATCCTCTAAAGAACAATCAATTATTTTCCTTAAAATTAATAATAAGCAGCTACACTTTCTCCGTTTTGTTTTATAATTTTATCTATTTCAGTGCTTAGTTGTATAGATTTACATATAAAACATCCAATGAATATTTTATGAATATAATCGTGGATGCGCACTGCCGAAAAGTCCCACAAAAGGATGAGACGGCTTCCAGGTGTTTCCATGTTGGTCTAGCTTCAAATGACTCATGATCTCAACTATTTACATTACTATAATATACACAAAAAACCCCTTCTGATATTAATTAACGTATGTTCACTAGTGACTGGCTTCAAGAGGTATATCCTGGAGTTCTAGTGAGAAGCAGTGACCAGTGAACTT